CGCCTGTTGCTGAGCAGCGGCACCCTGGAAAGGCTGGAGCGAGGATTAGTCGCTTCACGAGGCCGTTTGAGCCGGACATTGACGAGGATGACGGAGAGGATTATCTGCGGCAGGTGAGGAGGTTGGAGGCGCTTAGGGCGCAGCAGAGAATCTCTCAAGTGCTGGCGGCGGACATATTTTGCGAGAAGGAGGAATGGGTTGAAGGGTGGCCGTTGGTGTTTCTGATCATCGGTATCTGCCTTGTGGTGTTTATAATCTCGGTGCACAGGACGATTATCACTACCGTAAGTTGAATTGTTGCGTAGAAGTGTTGGGATGCTGACAAGAATAGGCTATTCCTCAAATTACCTCAGAATTCAAGTCCACGGCGGATATCGGCTGGTACGGCTCGGCATATCTTCTCACAGCATGCGCTTTCCAGCCTCTTTTTGGTAGAATCTTTGTGCTCTTCTCGGTCAAATGGTCGTATCTGCTGGCCATGCTGATGTTCCTTGGCGGTTCTCTCATATGCGCCCTATCTCCAAGTTCCATGGTCCTTATTATAGGCCGTGCCGTGGCTGGATTTGGAAGCGCTGGCATTCTCACGGGCAGCTTCGTTGTAGTTGCAACTGCGATTCCCTCGAGATTAAGACCGGCTTACGCAGCCATTGTAGGACTGATGTATGAGACGTTCCCCACCATGAGACCCAATGTTTGCTGACTTCCTGCAGGTTCGGTATTGGAACCACTGTTGGCCCTCTCCTCGGTGGTGTTTTCACTGAACTCGTCGTAAGTGACCCAATCTAACTAATTCCCTGACAGGAGACTGACGAATTTTTAGACGTGGCGATGGAATTTCTTCGTAAATCTGCCGGTTGTAGGCGCCAACATGATTATCTTCCTCATCTTCTTTCACCCCAGACAGCCCCCTCGCGTCAGGCCAAGGTTCTTCGATAGAATTCTGGAACTCGATCTCCTCGGCAACATCTTCCTTCTGGGCGCCTGCGTGATGCTGTTCATGGCCCTCGAACTTACTAACCGTGGCCAAGCATGGTCGAGCATCAAGATCATCGGCCTCTTGTCGGGATCAGGGGCGACTGCTATCGTCTTCGCAGCATGGCAATGGTGGAGGCAGGACGGCGCGTTGATCCCTCCAGCCATCATCACCCACCGGACAGTCGCGGCATCCTGCGTCGCGGCCTTTTCCACCTACGGCGCGCTTATGATCCATACCTATTTCTTGCCGCTGTGGTTCCAGGCCATCCGTGGCGAGGACGCCATCATGTCCGGCGTAGACATGATACCCTACGTGGCGACCATCGGCATCTTCTCCGTGCTCTCGGCGGTCTTCGTATCGGTCGTCGGCTACCCCGTGCCCCCGGCAGTTGTGGGCGGCATGATCGGCACAGCAGGCTGTGGCGTTCTGCGTTTGCTGTCTCCAAGCACACCGATCGCCTATTGGATAGGTTTCGAGATCCTCGTGGCTGCAGGTTTTGGCATGTCAATCCAGCAGGGCTTGACTGCGGTGCAAGCCGTTCTCCCACCAGATGACATTTCTGTTGGCACCGCTGCTGTCGTCGCTTCTCAGTCTCTGGGAGGCGCCATCTTCGTCTCTGTGGGTAACACGTTGTTCCAGAACTACCTCCTGCGGACTGCAGCTAAGAATCTGGTTCCTGGTGTCAACATTCGCGTGGTTCTTAGAGCTGGCGCCACAGCCTTCCGTTCAGCAGTTCCTGCAAGCGCGCTGCCCAGAATGATGACGGTTTACAATGATGCTTTGAGGGTTACTTTCACGGCGGCCATCCCGTTGGCAGGGGTAGCAGCTATTGCGGCATGCTTCATGGAGTGGAAATCAGTCAAAGTAAAGAAGGCTGCGTAGCTGTAGATAAGTGGAGGATTAAGATATGAAATACGATTGCTCGAATGAACATTGCAATTCCCCCTTGGCCCCTAGCCCCATCGATGGCGCTCGGGGGCTGAAAACAAAGTATGCCTTACCCGCGACATTATCGGCTGTTGGAGAGACCTCAGCGGGAGCTTGTAGTAAGCCACGCTGCATCATTTCGTTGGCGTATTTATTTAAGGCAGAATTACAGGAGCAGATTGAGGTACCCGCCTACTTCGATTCGCCTTGTAGGGACGATTTGAGGGGCGCCGGTGTGCTGCTGAAACCGTCTAGCTGCCACAATCGCGATGTGATTCGTCGTATGAGCCGGCGAGCGATCAGGGATGCGAATCCCACGGCGAGCAACCCCAGTTTTGTATGACCGCAAGTCTTCGAACCAGAGCGCGAGCAACCGGTGTTGTTTGCATTTGCGGAAGGCGGGTAACAGGGGTAAGTTCAGCCGCCAAGAAGCTGCAATACAACGCAAAAGCAACGTCGGTGGTTCATTGCAGTGATCTGCGCGACGCGGTACCTTCGGTATTTATCAGTGTTCGTTCCGGGTTTGATTTATTCTCCTCCCCTCCTCTCTCTTGTCGCCCGAATCTTTCTCCAACTCAATGTGAAAATGCATCTGTCGTGCTGGTTTCTCGCAACGCTCTCGCTGGCGTCCTCGGCGGCTGGACAGACACAGACATGCTACTGGCCAAGCGGTTCGTCAGCACCTCTACTGCAGGCCTGTTCGGTGGGCTCGGGCAACGAAGCTGCTGCATGCTGCTTCAATAATCATTATTGCATGACCAACGGCCTTTGCCTGTCGCCAACCGAAAGAACTTGGTACCGAGGTGGGTGTACGGACAAAGACTTCCAGCAGACGGGATGTCCGAAATATTGCGATACGACTGATATTGTAGGCGCAAGTAAGTCGATGCCCTCGAGGTTCAGCCGCAATAAAGGCGCAAGCCTGACAGATGAAGACTGACTCGGTTTGGCAGCACCAAATCGTCATGCAGGAGTGTGGGCATGCGCTTCAAAAGTATTCGCGTGCACCAGTCTCGATAACTGCTCGAAGCAGAACTTCACTGTTGGGGCATACCGAGCGGTGATGAATGTGGCCCTTTCGACGGACCTCGCCGACAGCGCAACAACGGCAACAGCGTCAGCGTTTGCGACCAGCGGAAGCGCAGGAGCCTCAGAGACGACCTCGAGTGATGCGACCGGTTCGACATGTCCAGCTACAGAGAACGGAATCTCGACAGGCGCGGCGGCCGGCATCGGAGTGGGCGTTGGTCTGCCGTTAGCCATCGCGGTTGGCGCGCTGACCCTCATGCTCATGCGCGAGAAGAAGAGGTCAAGAGCGGCGCAGACGAATTATCAGCAGCCTGGATACGGCCAACAGCCCGGATTCAATCAACAGCCCTACACGAGCACGCCGTCGCACTGGGGCAAGCCGGAAGGGCACTTTGTCCCCAACGAGGTATCGGGACATGCGGCGACACATGAGCTGGCGGATACCCAAGGCAGACACGAGCTTGGCCATTGAAGAAGGAAGGCCTCAACGGTATTGACGGGCGAAGTAACGACGATTCGTTAAACCAGATCTTATCGCGGCGAAGTGGTCAAATCGCCTGAGAAGGTCAGCAGGAGCCGCTGAGAGGGCAACGAAACCCTTGGCGCTGGCAATACATGCCATCATCATGCCGTTTCTAGCTGCCTGTTCTTGTCAAGATAGAAGGACATGAGGACACCAACGTGTGGTCCAGCTCTGGCGATCCAAGTCTACGCCGACGGTGCGTTGGTCGACCTGAAGCCACCGCGAGGTGCTAACGACGGGTGAGGGCCAACAGACCAAGAAACGGCATGCGCTCAGGTGGTCTTTGATGTCGGAACAAGATCTGGAAGCCGGGGCTGATCCTTTCGTTTCCGTAGGATCAGGGACGGCGGGAGATGGACATGAGGAAGTCATCAGAATTGCCGAAAGAAGGAAGGGGCCCCCCTTCAGACGAACCACTTATGCGGCTTATGCACAGGCCGAGGGCCGTGCCGCTGCACAATATTTATTCACGTACTAGAGTTTACGAGTCAACCAATCACATTTTATCGGATGCCTGAATTCTAGCACGTCCTTACCCGCCGACACCTCTTCTTTCAACCATCCACCTTACACCTCAACTTGCGTCAGCCACTTTATCGTCAGCAAAGCGAATCATCGCCTGACGCGCCGCATTCTTTTGCCTCTGGCGATTCCATCATGAACATGACGCTTGTATTATAGTAGGCGTCGCTCTCAATATGAGGCGGGCCCATTGAACACATGTGGCCGAAACATACACCAGATGGCTGACTTCGTCGGCAGGGTCTTCCTCTCCTAGCAATGGCACAGACACCATCATGACCACCATGAACCACGTTTCTGGTATCTCCGAGCCACAGACTCGGGCATCCTCTCTTCGCACTCCTCCTGCGATGCCTGGACACCACCACGATCCAGCCACTCAAAGCGCTGAAGGTGGCTCATGGTGCCCTTTCCAGGAAACCCCTTGCGCTAGCGCCCTCCAGGGCTGACCTCTTCTCCATTTTGGGCGGTACCAAGCTGCATGGACTCGCGCCGGCGCACCAGGTTGCGGCTCACAACGAGCGTTGTGCTCTACGCGGTGCTTCTCTTTGTCAGGCGATAGTCATCGCTGGATCAATCTCGCTCAGTCTCAATTGGGTCTGGACCCAGGCCAGATTCATGCAAAAGTAAGCACCAACATGGAAGAAGAAAGCTCCATTCAGGTTTCCACGGCGTTTGCCTTTTCTCTTTCGGCATATGCGTGACGGAACTTGCTATCCCGCGGCCATGGCATCTCCTGCGGGCGCCAGCCAAGCGGCGTTCTAGCACCTAAATGTAATTTAATTCCGCGATGCTGGGAGATGTTGGAGACAGTCTCGTCCCCGGCGAACCCTGTTTTACGACTCATACCCAACCCAGATCTACACCTTGACACCTTAACCACTTCTCTGTTACGTCAATATCCTCAAAACGTCATTCCTTTAGCTTTGCTTTTGCAAGTCAACCCCTTAGCTGGGTATTCTTGGCTTGAATTCGGCATATTTCGATCGTATCTTAAGCCAAAATTGCTTCGCGCGCAAAAAGATGGACGACCACGAGGCCCAGTACCACCACCAGCAACTCGAATGGCATCAGAAGAAACATGAACAACAGGTGCAACGACAGCGGCAGCTTAGAGGACCCGACGATGAGGGCCAGACACATTCCCCAACGTCATCGTCGCCGCCGCCGCTACACTCGCCCAAGTCGCTGCAGCAAACGTCTTTGACAACTCTCAAGAACGAGGACGAGAAATCCCAGAGCAAGCAACAGACCCTGCAGGACGAGCAGCCCGGTCTGGAGCCTGCGCCAGTACGCTGGTCCAACGCCCCGATCCCATACACACCACATGACGATGTTCAGAGTCCAGCGGGGCAGAGCTCAATTGTGAGCCCAGGGGCTTTGAGTCCTTGAGGGCAAACGCTCACTTCAGACGCGAATTGGCTGGAGAGCCAACTCTACGCCGTGCCAGTTGAGTCAACATCACCACCAGCGCCATCAGCAATTGGCAAGCGCCGGATTCTCGGTCTTTCTGTGCCTGTCTTCTGGGGTCTTGTCATTGCCCTGGTGATTGTCCTGGCTGCAGGACTCGCCGGCGGCGTCGCAGGCGGTCTGATAGCCCAGAAGGCCAATGCCTCACCCGAGTAAGTCAAGTCGAACCGAGCTCGAAGCTTGGCCAAGCTAACCTTTCAGTAGTCCAACGTCAACCGCCGACTCCGCGTCTTCCAACCCATCGACAACCACGACAGCCGCAACCTCCGCCGCGGCCACCGCTCAAGCCTCCGGCAGCGTTCTCCCCGCCCCCACCGACGGCGGATGCCCCACAATCAACTCGACGACCTTCGCCCCGCTCGATGCCGAGGGCGAGGCCATGGGTCTCAGCAACGGTCAGGGCCAGATCTTCCGCCAGCTGTGCGAGGTCAACTACCCCGGCGGAGCGGCCTACGGCAACCCGGGCATCTACGACATCCTCAAGGCGTACGTCTCGACGTTTGACGAGTGCATGACGTTGTGCGCGGCGCATAACCAGGCATATTACCTCAACCTCGGCAACGGGGACGTGGCGAAGGGGGGATATTGCCGTTCTGTGGCTATGATCAAGACGCCGGGCGAGTATTGCTACTTAAAGAATGGCACGGGGATATCGGATACCTTTGGGCATCCAAAGGACTTTGTCAGTGCAGTTGTCGTTTCTGGTCTAGATGTCTAGTGTTGGTTGATGAAGGGATTCGGAACGTTTCTCATTGGTGAATGCGCGGCGTTGGGGTAAAAGGAATACCATCACTTAATGTTCTACCACTTTAATCTACCAAACCAAAGTCTGTTTCTTCGCATGGATTCAGAATCAGCTTTTTACCAAATACATCAAGACATGTCATGTCACAAAGAATTGTTGTCATGCGTCAATCGTGTCGCGTTATCATTTCATGCTCGTCTAGCTGTGCACTCCGTTTTCGTCAGCCAACATGGCCTGCCGAACACGTCCTGAGGTCTCCTTCTTCCGCTGCTAGCCCATAGAGATCCCGGCAGCTAGCTCACTTCTTGCTGGAACCGCCGTAGCCGGAAGAAGACTTGTCGCCGCCGGACGAGGTGTAGGTCGAGCCGCCTTGGCCGTCGGTGTAGTAGGTGCTGCCGTTGGGGTTGGAGTAGTAGTACGATCCGTCACTGTTTGAATCGACGTGCGTCAGTCAGCCTGAAACCACCAACGGTCAAGACAGTTGGGACTTGCGTGTTGGAGTAGTGGTACGAGTTCGAGTTCGAGGCACTGCTGCCGTAGTCGCGGGCGCAGTAGTGGTTGCCCTGTGAACCCATTGTAGTCAGTCAGCGTGTCGGATCAGGCGAGATTGAGGGGGACGTGCCTGGTTGTTTGTGCCGGAGCTCTTGTACGAGTATCCCTGGTTGCTGGGCATCTTGACGGGTGTTCAGAGATTCTTGGGTCTGGGAGTGCAGAGGTGAGGTTGGTTTGCTTTCTGGTCAGTTATGTGTTGGAGGAGAGTCTGTCGAGTGACTGTTCAGAGAGGCGGGGGAATTAAATAGGAGGTTGAATCACAAGCCATCTCACCTTCCACCTCACCCCGCATCTTAGATTCCTGAGACAGGGAAGCTTCCTGTTGCTGCAGGGGAAGCAGCAAACAAAGGGAAGCTACGTCAAATTAGGCCGTGCGCCTAACCTTCTGTCTTCAACTCTGAGTGAAAGAGCCAACGGCACGCCATTTCTTTCACAAGCGAGTACTTTGCAAAAAGAAAGCATATTGAGGGGTTGAAGCTCCCCTCTTCAACAAGCAGCTTGTGATAAGGGAGCTTTGGCCGCGTGACGTCTGTCAGGACCCCACCGCGCCAGGGACTTGACGCTATCGTGAGGTTTGCATGGCAGGGCTATCCCAGTACGTCTTGGCAACCTCACCGCGCACCGAAGCCGCCAGGGGATAGGTATGTCGAGCTTGGGACAGCAAGATAGGTGCCGACGGAGACTTTGTAAAGTCAAGCTGAGACGCCAGGCCGAGGCTCAACTTAACACCAGGACTCTTGAGTCGTGGTCGACAAGTGAGAAACTCACGGAGTCAGCTAGGCGCGTAAGCTTGCTGACTGAGTCGTACTCAAACTGGAGAGTGAGGGGTTCCGGACGAGTACCAATGTATGAACAGCCTCAGATGCTCCAACATTGACGAGCTACCTACCAGCGAGAACCCGACGCAATGCGTTGAAATTGAGGACCAAACAGCTTCCAATCAAACGTAGAAATCATATTTTGCGCCTGGTATATGCGAATAAAGAAAGCAAGCAGGCAGCCCTCCCATATTGTACCGAACCCAGAAAAGAAAAAAAGCAGGCCGACAGAAGCCACACCAGTTTCCCCCAAACCCCCATATGCATCATCATAACCATCATCCCGTTCATTGGACCGTCAAATCATTTCATACCAACACTTGACAAACCAACTAGTCAGCATTTCAGTCGTGTCAAGCCAAGGCAAGAAAGAACAAGAGGAAGAGTAAAAGAAACCCCCACGGCGGCAAACGGAAATAGCAAACCAACGCCCCCTCTTCCCCCAATCCAAGGACCTCGCGCCCCTCCTGTGTGATCGGGCCCCCGCAAAAAAAGAAATTCTTCAAGTGACAAGGCTCCGTTAGATAAGATCTCACTTACTTCTTTCCGTATCCGGAGCACGTCCGGTACCCACTGGCCGAGGTGAACGTCGACCCGCCGTTGCCGTCATATTTTCCCCCGTTGTTGGGATTGGCGTAGTGGTAAGAGCCGTTTCTGCGCGAATTTTCTGCCCGTCAGTTCTGGTTCTTGCTGCTTCGTCGTCTTCCTGGCCGGAACCGTGGGTTTGCCGTGATGGGAGGCATTTGAAGGGGGGAAAGAGGCCTTACATGCTGTTGGGATGGTGGTATCCGTCTTGTTTTGAAGAAGAGCCGCCGGCGTCGCGCGGGATATGTTGGCTGCCCTGTGTTTCTCTGGTTATAAGCAAGAAAAACCTCCAGCCTTCGAAACCTCGGCATCGCGAGATTAGAGTTTCCGAGATGAGATTTCCGTTCTTACCTGGCTAGCACTCCCCGAACTCTTGTAAGTGTACCCCTTGTTGCTTGGCATGTTGAATTCGTGTCGATATACTGGGCGGGGAGGGCTGGCGGCGGATCTTGATCCTTCTCGAACGCAGCTTCAATTCATCCAAGAATCGGAGAATACAATTCTTCGATGGAGCTTTCGTCGGGGTTGGCGTTTGTTCACGAGACAGACGGGGGGCGACTTTGGCGTGTGAGAGAGGGGCAAAAACAGGTGAGAAAAAGGGGGATAGTAGGACACTTTATAAAGGCACCAGAAGCAGGCAGCTTTTAGCGGCCAGGTGGAGATGGGGAAGGTGAATTGAATGGTTCTTTCCAACCCACGATGAGTTATACACACCTACGAGAGAGTTTTACGGGCACATGGGCTGATCATGGCGATGCGTGTTTTGAAACGATACGCTTGCCTATTACCCCGCCCTTGGACGAAAGACATAGGCACATAGCACGACACGGGCGTACACACACGCGCCCGCGCACACACACACACCCTTTTGACACACACGGACGACTTTTCGGGCAGAGCTGCGTGTATTCTTTGTGGCAGTCTGGCCGTCAATGCCTTGGACGGGGGTTGGGTATGGATACACCAACAATCACAACACCACATCAACGATGGGACGACTGGGGAGGGAGGGACGCGGGGACCCAGACTGAAGCTAGCTGCCGGCAGCAAGGAACCACATCAGCAGCAAGAAGCAGCAGCAGTAGAAGCAGCCAAGCGGGCTGACGGGGGAAAGTGGGCAGGGCGAAGATGTGCGCCGCCGCCGCCTCGTGGGCCGAGCGAGGCGACAGACAAATAAGAGGCGAATGGCATTCCGTAAAGCCATGCGCTGGCATTGCGTCTGGGCCTGACTTCGGGGGTATTTTTAAGCTCCATGTGGGGGTGCTGGGTGAGAGCTGCTGCTGTTTGCTGCCCGCTGTTGCTGATGGCAGCTGGTTTTTATGGGACGAAGCGAGCAGAAAGCCGTCCGAGGGGTGGGTAGGCAAGGTAGGCAGACAGAAGCAACAGGGACGCGCAGTGTTGGTGGTGGTGGCTCTCGGATGTGGGCAAGGTTGGGACGACATGGCAACTTGGATTTTACGGCGACGACGGCGGTCCAGGGGTGCGCATTGGTGGCAATGGAGGGAGGGTCAAAGGTGAACGTGGGAAAAGCTTCACTACCACCCCCCCTCCTCCTGGTGCCTGTCTGTCTGTCGCCGCCGCTGCCGATGATGTCTTGGAGAACGCATGCTCCAATGGACGGCGCCCACATGCAGCGAGAACCGGGAACGCCCGGCCGGCCTTAGGTTGGAAAAATGTCTCTCGATCAGAGGTGCGGGTGGTGGGATACGCAGCTTATATCTCCGAGGTCCCGGCTTCGGTGCCTCGGACCTGGCTCCGAGCGGGTAGCATCTCATCTCATCAATCTTCGGGAATCTGGATCTTGGAAGGGATCTAGAATGTCACCCCTTTTCTTTCCAATCTCGGTTACGCGTGAAATCATAAAAGTCTATTTCTTCTTCTTTTACCTCCTATTTGTCTAAAATGGTCTAAGAGGCTCTAGTGGGATATGTGCAGAGAGTGGCTCTTAAAGATGATGGTCAAGTCATTGCTTGTTGTCCTTGACGTCGCCGTCCTCGAGCTCGGCGATGAACTTCTCGGCGTCCAGGGCGGCCATGCAGCCGGAGCCTAAAAGCGAAATCAACGTCAGCAAATCTCGGGGTTCCACAACATACGCGGCCTAACAACAGCCAATGGCTTCGCGGGGGGGAAGGGACGGGAAAGCTCACCTGCACTGGTAATGGCCTGTCTGTATCTCTTGTCCTGGACATCACCGGCGGCGAAGACACCCTCGACGCTGGTCAGGGGGGTGCCGGGCTTGGTGACGATGTAGCCCTCGGCGTCGGTCTCGAGCTGGCCCTTGACGAGGGTGGTGGCGGGCTCGTGGCCGATGGCGTAGAACAGGCCGTTGGCCTCGACCTCCTCCTCCTTGCCGGTGACGGTGTCCTTGACGACGAGGTGGCTCATGAGGCCGTCGGCGCCGCCCTTGATCTCGGAGCCGACGGAGTTCCAGCGGACGGTGACCTTGGGGTGGGCCAGCAGGCGCTTGGCCATGATCTGGGAGGCGCGGAGGACGTCGCGGCGGACGAGGACGGTGACGTGGCTGGCGTACTTTGTGAGGAACATGGCCTCCTCGGCGGCGGAGTCGCCGCCGCCGATGACGAAGAGGGGCTTGTTGCGGAAGATGGGTACGGCGCCGTCGCAGACGGCGCAGGCGGAGACGCCGTTCTGCCAGTACTTGTCCTCGCCGGGGAGGTTGAGGCGGCGGGCGGAGGCGCCGGTGGCCAGGATGATGGCGTCGGCGGTGTGGGTCTCGTCGGGGGAGAACTCGGTCGAGTACTTGAAGGGGCGGGAGGAGAGGTCGAGGTTGGCGACGGTGTCGGTGATGATCTCGGTGCCGAAGCGGGCGGACTGGGCCTTCATCTTCTCCATGAGCTCGCCGCCCATGACGCCCTCGGGGAAGCCGGGGAAGTTCTCGACGTCGGTGGTGGTGGTGAGCTGGCCGCCGGCGGCGATGCCGTTGGCCATGAAGCCCTCGTAGAGGACGGGCTTGAGCTCGGCGCGCGCCAGGTAGACGGCGGCGGTGTGGGCGGCAGGGCCGGAGCCGATGACTGCGCGGAGGAGGGCATTGTCAGTTCATGGGGGCTTTGCATTGAGGGTAGCAGGCAAGCAGGGAAGCAGTGAAGCCATCGTGAGTCGATGTGAGGGGGAAAGGTGAGGGGCCGTAGAGGTAACGGTAGCAGCGGTGGCGGCCGTGGTGACGACTTACTGACGACCTTGGAATGCATGCTGCGGGCTGTTGTTTTAAAATCAACGGGTTTGGCGGTGTTCTTTTTCAGGGTGGTAGTGGCTGCTGCAAAAGATAGGCCGGTCGCGCTGGAGCGAAGAAGTGTTCGTCTGAGGGTTGAAGAGAACAGTTTGGCGGTGATATGCGCGTTCGGAACACGCACTATCCTCTCCCAAATGGCGGGGTATCTTTAAAAAGGAAAAAAGAGACGCAGTGCGAAGGGGGGGTCGCCTCAGGGAGGGGCGTCCTCGGGGAGTGGAGGGGCAACGCAACGAAACACCAGGCGGGTTCTGCTTCTGCTCTCTCTCCCAATCAGCTCCTCGCAAAGCTGCAACTCGTGGCTATCGTTGACGATATCTGCTCGCTGCTACGCACTATCTACCAGAGTCAAAGACGGCGTCTGACTGGACGGCGA